AGTCATAGAGACCTTCACTAGATGAGCGTAGGGGTGGAATACATTGGGTTTCTCTGGACGATGGAAGTCGTTGCCTTTCATTGCCCGCTTAAGCTGGGCAGCCTCCAGACCAAAGGATGCTGCTCCATCGTATCTATGAGACCTAGGACTAAACCCAAGAGCACGTTAATAGTTGAGCTCCAATGGCAACAGAACTAGAGAAAAAAATCTGGTCTCACGTGCTTCGGTCACGTGCCCGTGTTAGGTTAACGTCCAGCTGCCTTGTAGGTTAGACTGTCGAAGCCAAGGCTCTGGTTAGAGTTTCTAAAATGGAGCCCCCTCTGCGGTTTGGGCACTAGCGAGGTGTGTATCGTTCATAAACTATCGGTGTGCTTTTGGTGAACAGTATTAGCAATTTCCTCTAACTTGAGAGCGATACATGTTGTTGCAGGTTATTGCGGCTCACGAGATTTGTCTAGCGGCAATAACCATAGCTCATGCAGTCTTGTTCTGACGATGGATCGTTTTCGGCGACTACGAACTTTTTCCATGAGAACCAACATAGTTACACCTGGTGTACCGCCGCGCCTTCTCAACCTTAGTCTCACCGGTCACCGCTGGCGTTTACCAGTCGAAAACCGTCTTTCATCCTGGTGTGGTGTGTTCGAATTCGCTTACGTTTCGTCTTTAGTCACGCCAACACTAAAGCTACTCATCTCGACAGACATCTTTGACCTAAATTGCTTTGTTGGATGCCCGAAGATATGGCTTTTCGGATGCCCCAACCCATGTAGTGCGCAAATACCTGAAGCGTCAACTGAGTAGGAGCTTCCGAAATGACCATGGCTAATGGTTAATTATAAAATGTTGGGAAATGACGAGGGCGGCGTCTACTGGTAATGGCCGTAGCGACAACGGCGATTGCCTCATTCATTTATGCTTTCACCACTGTTTCCGGCGAGTACGAATTTCTGCCACAAGAGGCGTCATAGACTCATAGCGTCCTCCTACGTCTTCACAACGTTGGCCGTATTGCCACTAGACGCCGGTGGCTTGACTCAAAGGTTGTGATTCATTCTGGTCCACGCCTGTGACTCAGGTCACATCGTGGTAAATGCTTGCTTCTGCTTATGTCTCGTCTGTGGTTGCACCAGTGCTAAATCCATGCGTCCCACACGGTTGCTAATAACCGATCTGTTTGTCAGTCGGAGCTTTCTACATGAATAAGATGCAGTAGGATTTCCAGGGCCCTAATGAATACTTACAACAGGGAAAAGAAGCGTTGTGCTCCGCTTTCATTGACACAAGGTTCCGACTCATGTAGGCTTTAAAACCTCGGAATATGTCCCTCGGCGGGCAATGAGAGCATAGCGGAAACCTACCAAACGCATCTTCAAGTCGCGGATATGAGAGCGAACATTCCCGTTTTTAATCACGAATACTTGAGCAATAGCTCACACTAAGGGGTGACTGCCGACCGTCGGCGTTGTTATAGGGTATGTGGGTTTTGCCACGCAGTGTACGCTCTCCACAAGTCATAGAAGTCCGTAGACAGCCTCACTATCGTCGGAGGTAGGTGTCTCAGGCTCCGAGATGGCTGCTCGCCCTGAACGCCTCTCGAAGTGCTTCCGAATGACCGTGCATATGTCACGGCCTTTGCTGAAGAAGTCCTTTTCACTGCCTTCTCGTGGCAGAGGTATTCCCACTAAAATGAGAGAACGAAAGCGAATGTCCGGCGCTCCAGTGGGTTGGCTGACTCATGATCACTCTGGGGGAGATGACTAGACCGTGATTTAAAACCAACCACGGGTGGCGTATGAGGCGTAAAACACTATGCTCATCGGGATCTGTGGCGGGGGGTGGGGGGTGTACTGGGCGTCCAGGATGAAGCCAAAATGTTTGCAATGTCGACGGTCTAAAGTGCATAGGCATGTAGGTTCGCTTATCGGTACTTTCGCCACGCCCCATGTTCGATTTGATCATATCTACATAGACATTGTGGGTCCATTGACCCCACCATACGGTATACCTATCTGTTGACGTGCATCGATAGATTTACGAGAAGGTGCAAAGCTATTCCCGTCTCCATCGTTACGGCCAAATCGGTGGCCCGAAATTTGATAGAACGATAGACAGCTTCATATGGTTGTCCTTCTACAATCACCACCGACCGAGGGAGACAATTTCAGTCCGATATATTCTCTTACTGACTCACATGCTGGGTACGGGACGCATTTACTCTGGCGCAGACTCGGATGCAGCGACGACAGGTTCTCGTCCCGGTCGAACTCGAAACTTGTTCGCATGTATTCATTCGTATTGATTCGGTGCGCAAACCATTACAACAGCCATGCAAAGGTTCATTTCGCGTGATTTTCGTCATGATGGGACCTTTAAGGTTAATCGCCTCAAAGCCGCGTGCATTTATGATAACGTACTGCCCGCTGACATGAGATTCGATGTTAACCCTGCACTGCCTGTTGACGATACTTCCATGTCACGTCAGGGCCTGCAGTTAGCGTTACGTGCTACGACTTCGAATGAGGCCATAGTCTCACGTTTAAGAAGGCAACCAGTTGGTACTGCTTTGGCTTCGAATGACATTGTCGTCTCGCTTTCAAGCCAGCAAAGCACGCCCATAAACCCGTCCACGAATGAGGCTTCCGTCTCACGCTCCGGTCGGAAGATCGTCTGCTCAGCACATTTTCGCGACTAGATGAAAAACGATCCTAACCATTGCATTTCGATGTAGTAACTTTCGTGTTTATTGTTTCGACACAATTCGACATGCATCACTAGTTATGACTTTATACTTGTCACGTCCATGGTGGTTGCTACACCAGTTTTCCGTCTTCTTTTGCATGGTACTTCGCCGTATGATATGCTTCGCTGGTTCACGAAATTCGAAGAGTTTTGGCATCGTAGTTCGCATTCTGGTTCGGCCCTGTCGCTGTCGTTTCTTGTCACTGGTGAACCCACCGATTTGGCTTCCGGATATTATATTGGTTAACGGTTACCCGATGTTGAGCGTTATTTTTGTGGCATACCGAGATGACGATTCACACAAGCAATGTCATTAGCAACGAATCCGGTTTACGCTTGATCAACATTCAACGGTTTCCACATGCCACTGATTCTGACCTTCAGCATCCTATAGCACGCCTACATTCACGTATTTTCACTCATTCACGTGCATGAATATCGTTTGTATGTCGTCACCTTGAAATCTTTCGAAAGCTTCCCACGCTTTTTAGCACGGGGCTGCTGTAGTGACCTCAGTCCTGCTGAGAAAATGACCATTTCCCGGACGTTTTGGGTTTATTTTCTCTACGGTCTTTTCTGACACTTGGTTTCGCCTGAATTGTTTTCCTCGGTTTCAAATGTGTAACTGAACTCACCGCGACGTTTCCGTCGACCTCGCTGACTGTTCGCGTTCGATTCGCTTCTCGCTTCGCCGTTGCGTTCCTTTGCTTTCGTGTATTTTTTGTATCGGTACTGTTTTGGTGCCAGGATATACAGAATACACTATCGCATCTGTCTACCAACTCGAGTCTTCTCTATTCATTCGATCGAGGGGATTTCGTTGGTAGTTAACTGTGCGACCTGACAGGAGACACGTTCATATGTAGTGAGCAGGTTGGAGGTAGCCATTTTGTTGTTCGATTAGGGTAAGCGTAGGATCCTGTGATGCATCTGCTGGGCTTCGGCTCACGAGGTTTCTCTTTCTGTATTTAGTAGATCATACACGGAAGACACTGGTCTTGCATACTACACATGAGCCATTATTCGAACATCTGTACCCTAATTGTTAAAGATACATCTTCCAGTGTACAGCCAGAAATACTATCAACTGACGTCAAGTGAAAAATCCATCCTAAAGAACTAATTCGATTGACAGGAAAGCCGGGAACGGCTCGGTTTCTCCGCTCAGGAGCAGTGAACCACTTTCGACTGAGACTTTGACCCAGTTAATTGCATGTCCAGTTTATGTCTTGTTCCTTCTCGAAAGAGGGGGAGGGAGCACCTATCCGCCAGACAGATACATCCTAAGAAATGTGAGAAACTAGAGGACTTGAAGAAGGCAGTGATGAGACGAATCAATTATGATGACAGGCTGTCGCGCTTGTACTCCAAACATCCACAATTAAAACAATTTGGGACAAGTTACGGATCTCATTGCTTACGTATTTAACTTTATGGGTTCACTTTCCCAAGTGTTTCGTGTCTAATTCTGTCTTTTCATTCTACCCGATCAGTTTAATTCAGAAACGCACGGATAATTCAGACAAGGCAATGAAAATAAACTGGTTGAATCTGACAAACCACGGCGAGCATGTGCAGTGCTTCGTTGGTGTCTCGTAGTACAGGCACCATGCAATTTAGTTGTGATGCCCTAATAGATTTTCTAGGTATTTTAGTACTCCGAGTTACTAGGTACTAACCAGACCACAAGAGTGGCCTATCGGATGGGCAACGAACCAAAAATTTCAGCGGTTGCCAAAAAATGGTGAAAAATCATTACAATAGGTAAATGACAATGTGTTTTTCGATCATGTTCAGGGGTTACTGTCACCGGACACAAACTGAGTTGAGATTCAGTCGTCCGGAAGCAGAAAAGTCAAGTGTTTTCCAATCACCGCGAACCATTGTTGTTACACCAAGCGGACAAACAGCCCTGTGGCGTTGAGCAACGCACGAACTACCTGGAGCTAAGTACGAATTAGTTATGCTAACGCAGTTTAATTTTATTCCGTGAATTCGCATATGCAAACTCAGTCACCTGGTTGCTACAGTGTTACCAGTGAGACAAAATCGGAATCGGCGGAAAGAAAAAACTGACCAGGTGTTATAATAAGTAGTGTATTCTATTCGGTTCTAGTAGCGTGTGACGTCGAAAATCCCATGATCAACAGAGTGTTAATACGATCACCGACTTTCAGTTTCAATCATTTTCAGTGGACGCTATCAGCTACCATATGCGGAAAAAAGTGATGTCCATGAACCGATCATGATCGCGAAAAATGCCTACCGACGCAGTTCCTCGAGCTGAAGGCCTTGTCAAGTATTTTTGTCTCGTAAGTTAAGATAAAATGAAATGTTTGTTAAGCTGTCTTCAAATAAAGGATTAAACAGTCAACATTCAAATCATCTTTCATGGTCAGCCTCCTTGTGACAAGCGAGGCACACAAATTGGGCTGGAGACAACTACCACAACACGTGCAATTTTGATTCAACTATTATATTCCGATTGAAAACTGGTGGTGACATCCAGTTCAAAGAAAAAACCAAAGTCCTTTCGTTACGCTCAGGCCGCGGACGTTTACCATTGGTTCCATGAGAGAAAACGCATGCTATTTCCGTAGCATAATTCGTCACATCTTTTGATTGTTCAAATTTATGACAGGACCCACGTAAATGTTAGAACAAAGAGCGCAAAGAGCGTTCATCAAAACGATTCCATGCTTAACACCTACCGCCGAGTACTGACAAAAAACAGCATGATGATGATGATGATGATGATGATGATGATGATGATGATGATGATGATGATGATGATGATGATGATGATGATGATGATGATGATGATGATGATGATGATGATGATGATGATGATGATGATGATGATGATGATGATGATGATGATGATGATGATGATGATGATGATGATGATGATGATGATGATGATGATGATGATGATGATGATGATGATGATGATGATGATGATGATGATGATGATGATGATGATGATGATGATGATGATGATGATGATGATGATGATGATGATGATGATGATGATGATGATGATGATGATGATGATGATGATGATGATGATGATGATGATGATGATGATGATGATGATGATGATGATGATGATGATGATGATGATGATGATGATGATGATGATGATGATGATGATGATGATGATGATGATGATGATGATGATGATGATGATGATGATGATGATGATGATGATGATGATGATGATGATGATGATGATGATGATGATGATGATGATGATGATGATGATGATGATGATGATGATGATGATGATGATGATGATGATGATGATGATGATGATGATGATGATGATGATGATGATGATGATGATGATGATGATGATGATGATGATGATGATGATGATGATGATGATGATGATGATGATGATGATGATGATGATGATGATGATGATGATGATGATGATGATGATGATGATGATGATGATGATGATGATGATGATGATGATGATGATGATGATGATGATGATGATGATGATGATGATGATGATGATGATGATGATGATGATGATGATGATGATGATGATGATGATGATGATGATGATGATGATGATGATGATGATGATGATGATGATGATGATGATGATGATGATGATGATGATGATGATGATGATGATGATGATGATGATGATGATGATGATGATGATGATGATGATGATGATGATGATGATGATGATGATGATGATGATGATGATGATGATGATGATGATGATGATGATGATGATGATGATGATGATGATGATGATGATGATGATGATGATGATGATGATGATGATGATGATGATGATGATGATGATGATGATGATGATGATGATGATGATGATGATGATGATGATGATGATGATGATGATGATGATGATGATGATGATGATGATGATGATGATGATGATGATGATGATGATGATGATGATGATGATGATGATGATGATGATGATGATGATGATGATGATGATGATGATGATGATGATGATGATGATGATGATGATGATGATGATGATGATGATGATGATGATGATGATGATGATGATGATGATGATGATGATGATGATGATGATGATGATGATGATGATGATGATGATGATGATGATGATGATGATGATGATGATGATGATGATGATGATGATGATGATGATGATGATGATGATGATGATGATGATGATGATGATGATGATGATGATGATGATGATGATGATGATGATGATGATGATGATGATGATGATGATGATGATGATGATGATGATGATGATGATGATGATGATGATGATGATGATGATGATGATGATGATGATGATGATGATGATGATGATGATGATGATGATGATGATGATGATGATGATGATGATGATGATGATGATGATGATGATGATGATGATGATGATGATGATGATGATGATGATGATGATGATGATGATGATGATGATGATGATGATGATGATGATGATGATGATGATGATGATGATGATGATGATGATGATGATGATGATGATGATGATGATGATGATGATGATGATGATGATGATGATGATGATGATGATGATGATGATGATGATGATGATGATGATGATGATGATGATGATGATGATGATGATGATGATGATGATGATGATGATGATGATGATGATGATGATGATGATGATGATGATGATGATGATGATGATGATGATGATGATGATGATGATGATGATGATGATGATGATGATGATGATGATGATGATGATGATGATGATGATGATGATGATGATGATGATGATGATGATGATGATGATGATGATGATGATGATGATGATGATGATGATGATGATGATGATGATGATGATGATGATGATGATGATGATGATGATGATGATGATGATGATGATGATGATGATGATGATGATGATGATGATGATGATGATGATGATGATGATGATGATGATGATGATGATGATGATGATGATGATGATGATGATGATGATGATGATGATGATGATGATGATGATGATGATGATGATGATGATGATGATGATGATGATGATGATGATGATGATGATGATGATGATGATGATGATGATGATGATGATGATGATGATGATGATGATGATGATGATGATGATGATGATGATGATGATGATGATGATGATGATGATGATGATGATGATGATGATGATGATGATGATGATGATGATGATGATGATGATGATGATGATGATGATGATGATGATGATGATGATGATGATGATGATGATGATGATGATGATGATGATGATGATGATGATGATGATGATGATGATGATGATGATGATGATGATGATGATGATGATGATGATGATGATGATGATGATGATGATGATGATGATGATGATGATGATGATGATGATGATGATGATGATGATGATGATGATGATGATGATGATGATGATGATGATGATGATGATGATGATGATGATGATGATGATGATGATGATGATGATGATGATGATGATGATGATGATGATGATGATGATGATGATGATGATGATGATGATGATGATGATGATGATGATGATGATGATGATGATGATGATGATGATGATGATGATGATGATGATGATGATGATGATGATGATGATGATGATGATGATGATGATGATGATGATGATGATGATGATGATGATGATGATGATGATGATGATGATGATGATGATGATGATGATGATGATGATGATGATGATGATGATGATGATGATGATGATGATGATGATGATGATGATGATGATGATGATGATGATGATGATGATGATGATGATGATGATGATGATGATGATGATGATGATGATGATGATGATGATGATGATGATGATGATGATGATGATGATGATGATGATGATGATGATGATGATGATGATGATGATGATGATGATGATGATGATGATGATGATGATGATGATGATGATGATGATGATGATGATGATGATGATGATGATGATGATGATGATGATGATGATGATGATGATGATGATGATGATGATGATGATGATGATGATGATGATGATGATGATGATGATGATGATGATGATGATGATGATGATGATGATGATGATGATGATGATGATGATGATGATGATGATGATGATGATGATGATGATGATGATGATGATGATGATGATGATGATGATGATGATGATGATGATGATGATGATGATGATGATGATGATGATGATGATGATGATGATGATGATGATGATGATGATGATGATGATGATGATGATGATGATGATGATGATGATGATGATGATGATGATGATGATGATGATGATGATGATGATGATGATGATGATGATGATGATGATGATGATGATGATGATGATGATGATGATGATGATGATGATGATGATGATGATGATGATGATGATGATGATGATGATGATGATGATGATGATGATGATGATGATGATGATGATGATGATGATGATGATGATGATGATGATGATGATGATGATGATGATGATGATGATGATGATGATGATGATGATGATGATGATGATGATGATGATGATGATGATGATGATGATGATGATGATGATGATGATGATGATGATGATGATGATGATGATGATGATGATGATGATGATGATGATGATGATGATGATGATGATGATGATGATGATGATGATGATGATGATGATGATGATGATGATGATGATGATGATGATGATGATGATGATGATGATGATGATGATGATGATGATGATGATGATGATGATGATGATGATGATGATGATGATGATGATGATGATGATGATGATGATGATGATGATGATGATGATGATGATGATGATGATGATGATGATGATGATGATGATGATGATGATGATGATGATGATGATGATGATGATGATGATGATGATGATGATGATGATGATGATGATGATGATGATGATGATGATGATGATGATGATGATGATGATGATGATGATGATGATGATGATGATGATGATGATGATGATGATGATGATGATGATGATGATGATGATGATGATGATGATGATGATGATGATGATGATGATGATGATGATGATGATGATGATGATGATGATGATGATGATGATGATGATGATGATGATGATGATGATGATGATGATGATGATGATGATGATGATGATGATGATGATGATGATGATGATGATGATGATGATGATGATGATGATGATGATGATGATGATGATGATGATGATGATGATGATGATGATGATGATGATGATGATGAT